AAGCCCACGGTACACAGTGTCGGGGCCCTGTAGAGTAAGCCCATGGTACACAGCGTCACTGCCCTGTAGCGCAGAAGCCCACGGAACACAGAGTCGGGGCCCTGTAGAGCAAGCCCACGGTACACAGCGTCACTGTCCTGTAGCGCAGAAGCCCACGGTACACGGTGTCGGGGCCCTGTAGAGCAAGCCCACGGTACACAGCGTCACTGCCCTGTAGCGCAGAAGCCCACGGAACACAGAGTCGGGGCCCTGTAGAGCAAGCCCACGGTACACAATGTCGGGGCCCTGTAGAGCAAGCCCATGGTACACAGCGTCACTGCCCTGTAGCGCAGAAGCCCACGGTACAGTGTTGCTGCTGCGTAGAGCAGGAGCTCTTTCTTCCTAGCTCAGCGGCTCAGCAAGTTCTCGCCCCTTTGGGTCCAACTCTGTTCAGCACACACTGACCCTGACTCCTATCCCAAAAGGCCAGCCAAGACCTTCACAGGTTGATTTTTTGGGGTGGTGGTGGAGGAAGAACCCTGAGACAAGATCTGCAGCTGGGGCTTGGGGGCTACAGCCCCATCTTAGGGTTGAGGCCACCTGTCTGTCCCCCAAGTACCACAGGCAGATCACTAAACACTTCAGGGCTGCTGTGCCAATTGGAAGTAGGACACCGAGAGCACAGAGGCTGTGCAGCACTGCTGGTTTATGTGCTTGAGCTGTACCGGTAGACTCCTGCAGGTGGTGGGCCATGCACACACTCCTGACACACACGTGGTTGACGGGCTGGGGCTCCGATGCTGCCTCACACCTTGCTCCTCTGGGCTACTGAGCAGTGAGGTGACCAAAGACTCAGAGCCAGTATGCCCATGTGCCCACACCCATGGACCACTGAGCAGGGTCCCAGGTGCTCCAGGGCAGAGGTAGAGCAGGGGAGGGCTGGGGAAGGGAAAGGAGGGCAGGGGAGGGACTGAGAGGGTAGGGGAGGGCAGGGGAGGACAGGGGAGAGGATTGGGGAAGGGAGGGGAGGAGGGGAGAGGAAGGCAGGGCAGGGAGGGCAGGGGTGGGGATTTGAGAAGGGAGGGGAGGAGGGGAGAGGAAGGCCAGGGCAGGGGAAGGGTAGGGAGGAGAGGGGAGTGCAGGGAGGAGAGGGGAGTTTAGGGAGGGGAGAGCAGGGGAGGCAGGGAGGGAGGTGGCTTGTGCAGTTCCCACTGCCCACTGCGGCCCTCTCCCCCCTCCCCCATCTGCTGCCCCATCCCACAGAGACAGCGGCACAGGACTTACAGACAGAGTTCTTCTGGCTGCTGCCTTTGCCAGGAAGCATCTTGACTCCTCTGGACTTCAGCTCAATAGCCTTTTTCACTGCAAGGAAGAAAACGAGCTGTTAGTAAAGATGCGAAGAGCAGACAGCTCGCTGCAGCCTCCTGGAAACCCAGCTTAGTGCTCTCTCCGGCCTGAGCACAGCCGTGCTCTGCGGGGCCCAGGAGTCGAGACACTGAGGCACCAGTCGCCAGAGCGGCCACCAAGCACACGCAGTCCCGGGTGCTGCCACCTTGGTCCCCAGGGGAGGGGCATCCGCAGGCCGCTGTTGCCTCCCCAGCTGTGCAGGCGGGGGCTGGCTCCCGTCCGCAGCAACCCTTTCCCTCACTTTTCTCTGTTCACAGAACCGTCAGCTAAAACGCAAGCTGCTTGTTCATACAGGCCCGTAATCACTCGCACACTGAAGGTACACACACACACACACACACACACACACACACGGGTGGGCAGCTGGTGTGGAGGTCCTTGTTCCAGCAGCCCTAGGTGACGCACGGCACCAGCAGGCTTTGCAGACCCTGAGCGCTGGGCCGGGGAGGGTGCCCACTGTCCTGGCTTCAGAGTGAGAGCTTTGGGCACTGGGTTCTTAGATTACTGTTGCAGAACTGGCTGTTAGTCTCTTCTCACGTGAGTTCTCATGGTCAAACAACTCCATGAGTCCACTGGAGTATGGACTTGCCGCTGGCTTCCTGCTAGGGTAAGCTGAGTGGTCTGGCCTCAGATAGAGGTTCCTGTCTAATATAGCCATGAAATCTGTCAGGCCACCCACTTGTCACAAATCTCGAAGGTCAAATCTCATATAGGAGCCCTGTGTATTACTGGGCGAGCAGAGAAAGTAAGGATGAGAAGCTCACAGGCGGTGCGGGCTCTTCCCAGCCGCTCAGGACCCAGGACGCTGGACTCCGGGTTGCCTGGCTCAAAAGGGTCCTTGTGCTCAGAGGCATAAGCGTGTCCTGGGCTCCTGGCTGTGGAGGATGTGGAGTCTGCCACTTGGGACTCCTGCAGGGCAGTTGAGGAAGTACCCCTGGGTGACTGTCTTCCTCCTGCTGCTTTCTGGACTAAGCCCCCGATTGCCTCTCTACCTAGTGCCATGCTTCTATAAATGACCTTCCCCAAAGCTAAGCAGAGGAAGCCAGAGAAGCTGCTGAAGGGACCTGCTTGTCACGGTCTTGGCTCCAAGCACTCGTGGTCACCAAGGCTTTGCTAGTCTCCGTCTGGGCCAACTTGTCCCCCCACGCTGTCCCCACCTCCCCAGGAAGCTTGGGCCCACTCCAAGGGCACTTGCTGAATCGCAGTCCGCCACTGAAGTCCACTCAGTGTCCTCCTGCGGGAGGAGCCAAGGTACTTGCTGTCTCTCCCGCTGTCTCACCCCATGTGCTTTTCTTCCTCCTTTGCCTGTTGTGCTGACATACAGCCCAGAAAACAGCATGAGAGCGAGGGTCAGTGCCTCACCGACCTCCTGCTCACTGCATGCCGGGGCCTCCCCTGGGCGATGGCCCCAGAACGATACTTTGGTTTGACCTGGAAATGCCTTGGTGTGCATCTCCAGTACCCAGCTTCTCTGCACTGCAATAACTTTATCTAGAAGATGCTCGGGAGACACCAGATGAACGCACAACAAACAACAAAAAGGAGAATCGATGGGTGCATAATGCAGAGCACAAAACTCAAAGCAAATGTCACCCGGGATAAACAGGCAGAACAAACACTACCGAGTCACTCAGAAACTGCAAAGAGGCCTGGGAGCCCTCGGGGACCAGGACAGAAGGGACGCACTGGCCCGTCTGGCAGCGTGACGCTAATACACTCCATGGTTTCGCGCCTGGGTGGGCAGTTCCTGAAGCCAAAACTCACAGGGAGATTTTGATTTCCTTGCTTCTCGCAGGATGGCGGGCATTCTCTGTGGACTACCCATCCCGAGTGCTGGCCCGGGTCCTCGCGGCCTGGCACCGGGCAGCACTGCTTCCTGGGGGTGATGCTTGGCAGGCAGGTGTCACCGCCCCTCCCTGCCTGCCACGCGCCGACCCTTCCTGCGCTCCCCCTGAAGGGTCCTCCCGTCCACCGAGTCTTCCTCCTGCTTCCTTTCTGATTCTCTCCCTTCCTCCTCTCTGTTCCTTCTCCTCCTCCTCCCTCTTGCTTCCCTTTCCTCCTACCCATCCTGTCTCCCCTCTCTTCAGGCCCCTCAGGGCTGAGCAGAGAGACTGCTTGCAGAATAATCTCAAAAGAGAGATGTGGATGGACAGCCTGGGCCGCAGGATGTGGGGAAGACAGCACCCTGCCCAGCCCCTCTCACAGCCCCTCTGGTGCTGCCCTGGATCCTGGAGCGGATGCTAAAAATCCTCTGGACTGATGCCAGTGCTGATGCTCAGGCTTAGTCTCAGATGAATCAGATCAAAAATCTCCAACTTTTTTTTTTTCTTTTTTTACAGAACTGGGGACTGAACTCAGGTCCTTTGAATTTGCTTCATCTTTGCTCCTTAGCTAGGCTATGTCTTTCTTGCTTTTTGCTTTTTGCTTTTTGTTAGTTGAAATAAAAAGTTCTACACCCTACCTTCTCTCTTTGTTTTTCATTGGTGTACATTTGCCTTACAACTACATGATGTTTGCTTTTGTTTGGGGGAATTTGTAAATCTGTGTGTCCACCTCCCTCCATGTGCATCATTGAGGGTTCTTTTCCACCTCTTTTTTTTTTTTTTTTTTTTTTTTTTGGTGGAAGCGGGGGTTGAACTCAGGCCCCTGCGCTTGCTAGGCAAGCACTTATTCCATTGAGCCATCTCCCCAGGCCCCCTTTTCCACCTCTTTTTCCATCCACCCTTCTCCCCTCGCCTCTAAATCCTCCCCCGCACCCATAAGGTCTTCTTGGTGTCACTGCAGGGTGCGCAAAGGCTGTGGCACCTGCGAGAGTTGGGGTCTGAGAGCTCATGGCCCTTCATGGCTAAGGTGAGGTCTCAGAAATTCAGCCTCGACTTCAGCAGCTGCAGCCAGGGCCAGGGAGGTGCCCCCAGGCCCCTGCGCCTGCTTGCAGGTGCTTTAGTCCACGGAGCTATTTGGCCGGCCCTAGCACATATTCTTTCGATACTTTGAAAATGGGAGGAAGCTACCGCTACACGGCTATGACAGAGACTTCTGGCTGCTGCTTGCAGACCGCGAATGTCGGATGATTACGTCCGCGTCTCCTCCAGGGCGCAGCCTGCCCCGCCCCAGAGGAGCCCTGCCCTCCTCTGCCCTCCCGCAGGCCCAGCTCCCTGGGCCTGATCGCCAGGCCCCACTGGCCCGGAGGTCACCTGGCCACTCCTGAGGACACAGCCTGTGCAGACTGCACAGGACCGCGCTGCCTCTGCTGGCCTGCGACCGAGCCGCCCTCTTCGTGCAGCGGGAAGCTGAAAGCACTTCAGGTGAGTGAGCGCAGGGCAAGCCGCTTCAGGCGTGCTTGATTCACTGAGTGTGAGGACAGCAGCGACCGACCGAGAAGCCTCGCAGACAAAGGAGGGAACAGCTTCAAATCTGCCCACTCCTGACCACTTAGAGTAAATCCAGGGTTGGAAATTAATGGATTAAAAGTGCATACAGCATTTGATTTACTAACAGGATGATTACAATTTTATGAAACCTCCTCTATCTAGAAATTGCATTTAAGTAATGTATCAAAAGAATATATATTTATATATGGCAATAATAGTAAAATCCTTGGAAATCTGTAGAGTTATAAGGATGAATATGCACATACATAAAGCCTTTATATATTTGAATACATACTGTAAAATATATGAAACACGGCCATGTAACATATATAAATGAGTCTATCGTCTTATCATTAGAAATTATCTTGTTCCATAGATTTTATTTTCTAACAAGATTTGTTTTGCAATTATTTTATCAGTACCAGCTACATGATTTTATAAGCAATCACCTTTTCTGATAGCTCATATGCATGCTGTTAATCACAGAAAATGCAATTTATTTAAAATTCCATTTTTTTCTGCTAATTTATTCTTGAATTAAGATAAACGGCCCTTCCAGATATTGGCTGACGGGCAGTTTTGAAGGATTTGTGCCCTTTATTATCCGAAAATAGAAATTGAGTTTCTTCTGAAATTTTTCAGTCTTGCAGGAGCGACTCAGAATCTACTTTCTTTGGTTGAGCCGGGCAAGAGCTTGGGGCAGGCAGGAGCAGGCAGGAGCCCAGGAGCTGCTGGGGCTGTGGTCCCCGGGGCTGCGCAGGCCTATCCGGCCCCGCTCCCCTTGGATACCAGAGCCCGCTGCCAGGGCTGTGTCTGGTGAGGGCAGGTCTCCCAGTTTCTCTGTCCTGCAGGCAGTTTTACAGAAGTGGCTGGCTTGGCAGGGCTGCGCTGTGTTGCTGACGTCCAGAGACCTCAGCTCAGCTCCTTGTGTACTTCTGGGCTTCTCTAAATCCTGCGCCATGAACTTTTATTACTATTATTATTTGCTTTGTTGTTCTCTCTTGGTTC